ATGTTTTCTTTTGATTTTTGGGTGATACTCAGAATAGAACAAGAAGATGGAAGGAGGCCTCTGGGATGAATTGGGATCCTTGGACTTCTTTTTTATTTTCCCTTTAGGAGGGAGGTAGGTTTTCATTTGCCTTTCATAATGGTCCTTGTAGCCTTTGCCATGTCTTCAGATTTCATTTTCTCTTTAGCAGACATTGTCTTCTACTTTCCTGAGCACTCTTAGAATAACACTCTGGGGGCTTCTTCTGTTCCTCCTATCAAGTTCAAGTTCACACAAAGAGTGCATGTGAGGCTGTTTTGCTCTTGGCCTCTTAGGATCTCCTTTGCCCATGTTTAGTATTTTTTCTCAGCAAGGTACAGAGTTACCTAGTGCATGTCTGGCTCTCATATGCCCTGGTGCTGTCTCTGTGGAGCTCAATATACTGCTGCAGCTATTTAAAATGTTTTGTTTTTGTTTCATGGTGCTAGGTCTTGAACCCAGAGCCTCATGCATGCTAAGCAAGTGCTCTACCACTAAGCATACCCCTGGCCCTTGCTAAAATGTTTTTAACCTTTTATTTATTTATTTGGTACCAGGGATTGAATCCAGGAGTTCTTAACCACTGAGCTCCATCCCCAGCTCTTTTTATTTTTTATTTTTGAGACAAGGTCTCGCTAAGTTGCTTAGGGCCTGGCTAAGTTGCTAAGGATGGCTTTGAACTTGTGATCTTCCTACGTCAACCTCCTGAGCTACTGAGATTATAGGTGTGTGCCACTGTGCTCGGCTAAAATTTTATTTTTAATTGTAGTAAAATGCACATTATATAAGATAGACCATCTTAGTCATTTTTAATATTTATTTTTTAGTTTTAGGTGGACACAATATCTTTATTTTATTTTTATGTGGTACTGAGACTCGAACCCAGTGCCTCACGCATGCTAGGCAAGCGCACTACCACTTGAGCCATATCCCCAGCCCCTTAACCATTTTTAAGTGTACAGTTCAGCAATGTTAAGTATATTCCTATTGTTGTATAACCAATCTCCAGAACTTTTTGGTTGGTAAATTAGAAAAAAAAAAAGAATTTCTCTATTCCCACTATGCAATACCCTATTTCCCCCTTCTCTCAGCCCCTGGTGACCACCGATTTACTGTCTGTCTCTGTGAACTGACCACTCTAAAGACCTCATAAAAGTGGAAGCATCAGTATTCTTCTTTGTGACTAGCTTATTTTATTTCCTCTAATGGTCCCAGGGTTCATCCATGTTGCACCATATGTCAGAATTTCTTTCCTTTTTGAGGCTAAATAATATCCCATTGTATAATATGTGCCACATTTGTTTATCCATTCACCTGTCAGTTGACGTGTTCACCTTTTGGCTTTGTGAATTAAGTTGCTTTGGACATGGTGTGCAAGACTCTGCTTTCACTTGTTTTGGGTATAACCCAGAAGTGGATTGCTGAATCATAAGGTGATTCTATTTTTAATTTTTTGAGAAACTGCCATATTGTTTTCCATAATGGCTATTCCATTTTGTGTTTCCAACAGTGTACAGGGATCTAATTTCTCCGCATCCTCTGTCATTTTCTGTTTGTATTTGTTTATTTATTTATTTATTTATTGTTTTTGCGGTAGCCATTCCAATAGTTGGGGGTAACATTCATCATAGTTTTGATTTGCATTTCCCTAATCATTAGTGATATTGGGCATCTTTTCATATGCTTGTTGTCCATTTGTATATCTTCTTTGGAGAAATGTCTGCTCAAGTCCTTTGCCCATTTTTAGTTAAGTTGTGTTTTTATTATTGTTGAGTTGCTTATAAATCTTTAAAGGTTATTTTCAAACATACACACACAAAAAATAGAGTACATTTTGCTGGTCTTTTTTTACTTCCCTGCCCCACACATCTCAAAGTTTTTTGCCTCACATTTTAAAGTAAATCCTAGGGCTGGGAATGTAGCTAATTGTAGAGTACTTTTCTAGCACACAGGGCATCCTGGGTTTGATCCCTAGGACCTAAAAAAAGAAGCAACAATAACAACAACAACAAAAAAAAAAAC